GAGAAAGAGAAATGAAGGGGTAACGGTCGTAGAAAATAAATCTCCCTCGAAGGACCATTCCAGCCGAGTTACAAGGCAGCTTCGTCACCGGCCTTCCCCTTCGAGGCTCCTCCTGCTGGGAAGAATGGGTCCAGGTGTGGTGATGAAGTGATGATGGCGTGGCGAAGCTGCGTGATTGCAATGATGGTGAAGTTGTGTGTCTAAGTGATGTGGCGATGTGATGATGGTGTGGCGATGCCGTGAGGTTGTGTTGATGGTGAAATCTGTGATGTGATGTGGCGATGCAAGGCTGTGTCCAGGTTTTGATGGCGCGATGAGATTGTGATGATGTGAGGTTGTCACGATGGTGCAGTCCAGTGTTCGTGCTTCGGTGATGTGAAGATGACGTGGTGATGAGGATGCAGGTTAGTGGCCAGGTGCTGTGGTGATGACAGAACAAGGTAGTGATGATGAAGCAAGTCACGGTGTTGTGATTATGCGACGGCTTTGTGAAGGCGAAGCAGCAGTTCCTCGTCCTGGCGATGTGATGATGTTCGGGCGGGACGAGGAGGCAGCCCTGCGCCCGCGTGGTGTGGTGATGGCGGTGGCGGTGGTCGTCGCGATGGTGTCACGCCAAGCCCAGGTTATGAGATGCTTGATGATGCGATGTAATGTGATGTGACGTGATGTGTGTTGCGGTTTGCAGGGATGCGATGTGATGCGATGCCTTGGGCTGTGGTGCCAGGAGGGGGCGGGGGGGGGGTGATTATTACGAAGGGGAGGCTGAAAGGCAGCGCCACTGCACTCAGAACAGTGAAAACATCTACGATTCTGATGACTATGGCATGGCAGTGATGGCAATGCTATCAGTAGCAAAGGATGCATTAATGATGATAATGGGGCAATAATACTAATGATGATTACGATAAAAAGCTAACAGAAATTACGCTGACACCGATAATAGTAGTGATAACAAAGAAATTAATTATGATAATGATGATGGTGAAGATAATGATAATGGTAATAATGATAATGAATATAATAATGATAAAAAATAATAATGATAATAATAATAGTTTTTATTATTTTTATTATATTATCGGTATTATCATTACAATGATAATAGTAATAAAAATGATAGCGATAATAATTATGATCAATATCATTGCTACTATAGTAATATTAATAATGATGATAATAACAATTATTGTAACAATAATCATAATAATAATAATAATAATGATAATAATGCTACAAAGGACAATTATTATAATAATGATAATAATAATAATAATATCTTTATTACAATCATTAATAGTAATAATAATGATAATAATAATTACAATAATAACAATAATAATACAAATATAATAATATAAATGATAATTTGATGATAACTTGATGATGATAATAATAACAATAATAATAATGATGATGATGATGATGAAAATGATGTTGCTGATGATGACAATAATACACACGAAAAGAAAATTATACTAAAAATTATAACAATATTAATCTTAATAAAACTCATGTGCCTAAAAAGGTCTTTAACTTTATATTTTATTGGCATCATACATTTTATTTTATCTATTCCATTATTCCAATCGTTTACAATGATTTCTTCAGAGCTCTTTCAGTTATTGATTATTTTCTGTTTCTCTTCTATTTTGCTTGTCTTCAAAATTTCTTATCGATTTCCCTCGCTTGGTCCTTTTCTTTCGTGTTAAAGTTTAACCCTTTTGTTCTATCTTTCGTTTTCTTTTCTCTCATTCTTTTCAGGTTATTGTCTATTTCTTTTTATTAGCCTGTCTCTCTTTCTTTCTCTCTCTCTCTCTCTCTCACTCTCTCTCTCTCTCTCTCTCTCTCTCTCTCTCTCTCTCTCTCTCTCTCTCTCTCTCTCTCTCTCTCTCTCTCTCTCTCTCTCTCTCTCTCTCTCTCTCTCTCTCTCTCTCTCTCTCTCTCTCTCTCTCTCTCTCTCTCTCTCTCTCTCTCTCTCTCTCTCTCTCTCTCTCTCTCTCTCTCTCTCTCTCTCTCTCTCGTTCTCTCTCTCTCTCTCTCTCTCTCTCTCTCTCTCTCTCTCTCTCTCTCTCTCTCTCTCTCTCTCTCTCTCTCTCTCTCTCTCTCTCTCTCTCTCCCAAGCTCTAGCCTTACTTCCATTTCTCTTACTGTCTGTCCATCTCTCTATTACTCCCTCCTCCCTCTCTCTCCCTCTGGCCACCCCCTCTCTCCCTCCAGCCACGCCCCCCCCCTCCACCCAACTCACCGCCCTCGTGTCTCTCCCCGCCCCACGCAACAGGATGACCGACGGGCCCTACTCCACCACCTGTCGCATCCACGGCTCCACCAACATCCACGACGACGGCTACGCCCTCGAGAACTCCGACAAGAGTCCCACCTTTCGACCCTTCCAGCACAACCTCCCCCACTGCTCGCCCGAGGTCCACCGCACGTGCTGGTGCGTCAACTTCATCGCCGAGCACACAAGACTCAAGGAGGATTCGACGAAGGTGGGCCGCTCATTCCTTGAGGGTTTTTTCTTTTCTTTCTGGGAGGGTGAGGGGGGGGGGGTGAGCGATGCTGTGTGTATGAGTGTGTGTGTGTGTGTGTGTGTGTGTGTGTGTGTGTGTGTGTGTGTGTGTGTGTGTGTGTGTGTGTGTATGTGTGTGTGTGTGTGTGTGTGTGTGTGTCATCTGCGCGTTTTTTTTAATTCTATTTGGCACATTCTTTTTTATTTTGATCAAATTTATACTCTTTTTATCAGAATTCATGAATGGCTCATATACAACTAAAAGTATACGCTTACATAAAAACAGATTCACCGTTATCACAAATAACAAAAAGAAATAGCCAGAAAATGCATTTAATTTCCATAAAAGCAAGGGAGACGCCGGGAACGCCCTCTCCCTCCGCACAAAATAAAATAACAGTGAACAAAAAGAAAACTAACTCTCCCAATGGCGTCGGCAGGTGAAGGAGGACTGGAAGTACGTGGCCATGGTGCTGGACCGGCTGTTCCTGTGGATCTTCACCCTGGCAGTGCTGGTGGGCACGGCCGGCATCATCCTGCAGGCGCCTTCGCTCTACGACGACCGCGTCCCCCTGGACAAGAAGCTCAGCGAGGTGGTCCGATCTCATCCTTCCAATAACTAATCACGCGCCGCGGTTAAGGAGCGCTTCTCGGGATTGTTTTGTTTTTGCCTGGAGCGAGGTGCCAATGAGGATTTTTCATCAAGGTTGTCATAGTGTTATTAAAATCATTATTATTATCTTTTTCTTCCAAAGATTTTTTTTTCTTTTGGTATTCAAATGCGTTACTGTGCGAAATCATCTTTCTTTGTTTTTATATATAAACATTACTAAGAGTATGTCATGGAGAAAAATAAAATCATATTAGCTTTATTTTTAAGGTAATTCGGAGTGCGAGGAGATTGGAGAATCCTGATCCATGAGTTTCCCAGTTGTTTGGATATTATATCATATATAGATAGACTCGGTAATGTAAATGCAAAAGAGTTTTACATTAGATTGTTGACGCATATGAAATACATTCATATATAGCATAAGAAGCGTCCTCACCTATTGACATTTATCAGTCTATTTTTCATCTCTACTTGTTTTTAGCATAATCATTATGAACAGGATGCTCATTTTAACATGTTAAAATGATGCGCAGCCTAGTTACATGTTTTATTTCATTACAATCATTTTTAATGATTTTTTATTATTGAAACATCATGCCACGATGGACAAAGAAATGAAAATCATACAATCAATCAATCAGTGTGTAGTTGTGTTTATATTATATTTAACAGATAAGAAAAAAAAATATATACAAGAGGTAAATTACTTGCCTCTGTAGACTTTCTATAAACCAAAGTGTAGATTACAGACAGTGCTGTACTATACATATTTTGTAACATAGAAGTAGACACAAAACATCTCGTCAAAGGAATGATAACAGGTCAATTTGATTTTCGGCGCGAAAGATTGTTACGAGGGAAGAGAGAGAAAGAGAAAGAGAGAGAGAAAGACGGAAGTGTGATAACGGTTTTCTGCGAGTGGACTGAAGAACTTATTACCTTTTTAGTATTATAGTGCAAAGATAAGCTGCTCTCTGCATCACCATGGACACTATATGTAGAAAAGCGGTGAACGGATTCGTACACGGACAACAAAGACGCTCACGTAGAAGAAAAAGAAATATTTGTGCAAAGAGAGAAAGCCAATCGTATATTCTGTTGTAAAAGAAAAACGAAACTAAAATCCTTAATAAGAAAAACAAAAATGAGAAACGACTTTTTCTTTGCTTATATGAACACGAAAGGAAAATAAAAAGGACACCAAGAGAGAAAGACTAAGTAAAAAGGAATATGGATATATATAGATGATCTCTTACTTGACAGAGATGTGTGTATATATTAAGCAGTAGCAGAGCACTTGTTCGCCTGCTGAACTGATTAGCAGGAACCTAGACATCTTACGGTGAAGTTATATGTGCAGAATAGCAAGTTTAAGATAAAAAAATTGTGTTGGATGACATATTTCCATTGTGTTATTCCAAAGATTGATACAAAGTTACAGTATTCTATAGCAAAAAAAAAAGATTATCTGATACTGTAAATAGATATATGATATCACTTTGTTGTTAATAATGATAGACTGATTGATATTCTTGAAGTCAGTGGCATTGTTATTATAGAAATTATGTAACTGAATTCTCGATATTGTTTGAAGTGTTTAATGATGTGGAAAAAAAAAATATTAAAATCCCTTAGCAAGTAATCCTGATTTTGTTGCCAATCAGAATAAACACACATTCCCTCAAAATATATCTTTTTGTCATAAATGTAAAATGAAATCTGTCTTTCCTAAAGCCACAAAAAATTATAATAATTCTTGCCTATGTCTTCTTGTACAGCAGCATATAGACCACACTGTTATAAAAAAAATGAATGTTAATATATCGTAGAGCCTCGGACAAGCAGTTCTGAGAAAACTACATTCTTTTCACTCAACATAACTTTTAAGAAATCTAGCCAAGATTTTTTTTTCAATTAAATCATAAAATTCTTATTATTCTTTTTCTTAGACTATGAAATAAAGAGGATGAGATTTCTCAGAAAAGCCTCTCTGAATATCTATCATATTGTATGCTGAGAATTAGCAGTACTGAGCTTTATGATGTCTAAATAAAGTTCGGTATTTTTTTTACTCCCATGACTTGTAATATGAATTAACGATAGGGATGATGACTTCAAGGCTTAGACTGGAAGTATATACTTTGGTTTCATACATTTTGGAGGGAATATAGTCACTTACACACATATATATATTCATTCATCTATTTTTTCTTCGACCAGTATGTTGCGACTCTGGTGATCACACAATTACGAAATTTGAGAGCCCAAGTTTTCCTCCACAATGTGGAAACGAAAGAGCCAAACGTTGGAACTCGTCTGTGACAAGAACCAATTGTAAAAAAAATATATATATAAATAGACTTCAAATTGGCCACGACTTTTTAGAGAAGCGGGTAAAGACACGAACGGTCTTTTGATTTTTGAATGTCGAACTCAAAATGCTGATTTTGTAAAACCTTAGAGAATAGAATGCTCACAGCCAATCATTGTCCAGTTAGGATAATTGTGTTAAGAAAATATACATAATGTAAGACCTTGTTAACATGCATCGATCCGTGAGATTTGTAAAAAAAAAAATTGTTGACCTTTAAAAAAAAAGTATTTCAGCGGTTGTACTAAGATCCTTTTGAAATTTTAACTGATACCAATTCCATCAAAGGGAGGCCTGGGTTGTAAAGGCGGCGAGTCGGAATGCGTTTAGGCCTCGAACAAATGAAAAATTAATGTATGCAATATATATATATATATATATATATATATATATATATATATATATATATATATATATATATAAATATATAAATATATAAATATATATATATATATATATATATATATATTATATATATATATATATATATATATATATATATATATATATATATATATATATATATAGCCGTATCATAATCTAAAAATATCAGTTATGCTTATCGAAAGGTTCTTAAGATGATCAGCTGTTTATATAGATTACTTTTCTACACTTAGCTGGTCAGGGGAGACTTAGAGGCGATTTACCTGAGGGTTTGTGTCAAGGTAATATATAACCATTACAGACTATATCCAAAATCCAATATTTTTCAAATACACAGTTTGCCAAATATGAAGAAATACTCGAGGACTTTTGTCCGAGTTCATAAGAAATGGAATGAAACAAAAGATATATATATATATATTGTGAAATGTGTTACTGTTTTTGGGTTAGGTTAAGCGGCTGTATATTTCTAATCATGGTGGCTAGGCTGCACCCCCCCCTACCCCAACCCTCCCCGGAAAACTAATGTAACACCTTATTTGTATCCCAATATATTCAGAAAACCTCGAGATGTAATGCCTTTGAGGTTGAGTCATAAAAGGGTTTTTCTCCCGCCCCCCCCCCCCCGCCCCCCTGACACTTCATTTGCATACATGACCGAAACACGAAACTTTGTAAAATTATTGAGGCTTTGAAGGAAAATGAATGGATGAGTGAAAAAAAACACTAAAAGCTCAAATTGTACTCCTAAATAAGGGATTTTGAAGTGGTCGTTCCCTTCTTTGTGTCCAATTTCTGTGTGAACTGGACACGTGACCACGTGCTGCCACATGTTATGGATAATAAAAAAAAAAAACGTACCCTCTACCTTTTTAAAAGCCATGAAAAAATATGGTTGATCCCAATGGATATAAGTATTCATTTTGTATACATTATAAGATTTTTAATAGCAATACCACTTATCTGGAATTTAGAATTAAAAACTGCAAGTAGTTTGTTCTACGTGAGGTTGTTAGGAGTTGGTGTTTAGATTCTAACTGCGAGACCTTGTTATCACATAATTTTTTTCAAATTTCGGCCTTCGGCGCCCGTAAGCACGAGAGGGCGGCTGTGTCATCGACCCTTGGCGCTCGCGGGAGTCGAGGCTGAACAGAGACTAAAATAAATGAATAAAAATAAAACATGCCAGAAGGCTGTCTGTCTCCTGCTTCGATTCCTCCGCCGACGAGCCTAAATCCTTTTTGTTGTTTAGGCCGCGAATGGAGGCTCCCACTCGGCAGAATTGCTTCGGGACTCGCAGTGTGTGATCTCGTTACCGTTTTACTCATTTTTTGGCATTCATTTAGAATAAAAGAAACGAAAACGCAATTTCTTTATTTCATAAGCTGTAAATATGTCGCATTAAGATACGAGGATCTGCTGCTGTTATGCGTCAAAAGCGAAACACATATGGAATGCTCTCCCTTTTACTTGAAATACGGATTCAATTAAATTCACACTGCATATACATGTGCAATATATATTTATATGAGAATATATATATATATATATATATATATATATATATATATATATATATATATATATATATATATATATATATATAAAACACACACACACACA